ATCTAGGGGAATACCTACCAAATCCTACTTAGGGATTTCAACCTCTACTACCCCCTCTAGGGCTTAGACTTTACCCTAGCTTACTACTTCCTAGTAGGAAGACTAATTAACATATTAGAGAGGGAAGGAATAGAAATTGTTACCCTAAAGGGACTAATTACTTAGGAGGCAAGAGGAAGCAGTAGCATACTAGACCTATACTTTGTATTACATTAGATTAGGAATAGGATTATAAGATATAGGGTTAACTAGGAACTAGAAGAATTATTAGACCACTTCCCGGTATAGATTAAGCTAAATGTCTAAGCTAATTAGGAAAGGGAACTAGAGGAGAAGCTTAACTAGAAAGGTGCCTAATAGGGTAGGATTAGGGAGGAACTAGGAAGGGACCTAAAACTAGAGGAACTCTTAACAAAGTACCTACTAAGGCTAGAGGACATTAATAAGGCAGTAGAAGAACTAATAGGAATCCTAAAACAGGTAGCTAGAAAGCATACTCTAGCAAAGAAACATTTACTATACTAGTAACTATACTAGACTAGTAAGTATATAAGGAAGGTTAAAGTAGCAAGGAAGGCTAAGAGGCAGTAGACACAAACCTATACCTAGGAAGCATAGGACAACTACAACAAAGCCTACTAGGAAAAGAAGATCTAGATTAAGAAAGACAAGATATAAGAATAGAGATCTATAATAGGAATAATTATAAAGAAACTAGAGGAGATATAGAGAATAGCTAAATAGGCGAGGAGACCTAAATAGGATAAGGACATACTACTACAATTCCCGGACATTATAGACTAATAGGGACAAATGCAGACTATAATAGAAGGGAAAGTAAGAGCCCTAGGCCAACACTTCTTCTATAGAAAAGTATAAGCAGACCTATTAGATATAAAGGAGAAAGAACAAGAGACTCTACTACTAGACATACTAAGAGACACCTAGGTCAAACCCGAAACCATTAAAAGGATCCTAAAGAAAATTCTAGGTAACAAGGCACTAGGAGAAGATAAGATCTACAATAAACTTCTAAAAGTATATAGGAAGGGGCTAGCCCTAGTACTAGCTAATATCTTTTTACAAAGCCTAGTACTAGGACACTACCTAAAACTATTTAGGAAGTCCCTAATAGTAGTACTAAGGAAGCCCTAGAAGGAAGACTATATACAGCTTAAGGCCTACAGACTAATAGCCCTACTTAATATAATAGGCAAGGTGCTAGAAAAAATTGTCGCTAAAAGGCTAACAACCTTTGCCGAGGAAAGGAACATCCTTCCTAAAGGCTAGATAGGAGGAAGAAAGAAGAGGTTAACACTAACAGCTATAGAACTAATTATAGAACAGATTAAGCATATCTAGCACTATAGTCAAAACTAGGTAGCAACCCTCCTCTCCCTTAATATCTTAGGAGCCTTTAACAATATCTCCTATAAAAGGCTCCTATATATATTTAAACAGAAAGCTATACTAAACTAGATAGTCCAATTTATCTAGTCCTTCCTATAGGAAAGATCAACACAGCTTATTCTAGGCAAATTCAAATCAGACCTAATGCTAACTAAAAAGGGAATCCCCTAAGGATTAACACTCTCCCTAATCCTCTTCCTTATCTTTATAGCAGACCTACTCCTACTCCTAGAATTAAAAAACACATTAGCATTAGGGTTTATAGATAATACAAACATCCTAGCCTAGTCTAAGACAACAGAAACCAACTACAAGATCCTAGAAGAGAAGCACTAGGAGTACGAAAAATAGGCAAGGAGATATAGAGCAAAATTCGCCCTAGAAAAGTACTAGCTTATCTACTTTAGCAAGGCTAAATCAACCTATAATATAAAGCAATCAATTACTATCTAAGGCTTTAAAACCTAACTATTAGTAGAGCTTAGGGTACTAGGGATCTAGCTAGATCTAAAACTAAATTAGGGACTATAAGTAAAGAAGGCAAAGCAGAGGGCAGATGCTAATATACAATCCATTAATAGGCTTATAGCCTCTATATAGGGGGCTACATTCGAGAAAGCCAAAGTTATATACAAAGCAATTGTTAAGCTAGTAATACTATATAGAGCATAGATATAGATAGCCTAGGAGAAAATACTAAAGAGGATTAAGCAACTAGTTAGTAGGTCCCAAACCTAAAGCCTAAAGAAAATCCTAGGAGCATACAAAACTATACTAATAAGGGTAGTAGAAATAGAATTAGGGATCCTACTAGTTAAACAATACTTTAAGGGACTAAGACACTAATATATAGCAAAGACAATAGAATACCTAGCCTAATAGACTATCCAAAAGGCACTAGACAAGATAAAAGCCTAGTATATTAGGACTAGGAGGCGAGACAGACTATAAATAACTTCCTAGAAAGTTAAAGACCTAGAGCAATATAGAGTCTTAATAAGAGAAATGCTAGAGAAAGAGCTTTAGGGACTAAATATAAGGCTAGAGGAAGACAAGCTAAAGGGAGAGAAATAAAGCCTAGCAGAATCAATTGCTAGATACCTATAGGAGCAGGAATAGAACAAAACACAAGTTAGACTAGGAACCCTAAAGGCACTAATCAAATTTGGTCAATATAACTACTAGCTCTATAAGGACCTAAATAGGGCCGAGGCAAGCCTAGCTATCTAAATTAGATCTAAACACATTAGACTCAGATCTTACCTATTTAGAAGAAACGTCCTAGGAATTAAAAGCAGGGCTTACTAATATAGCTACTAATCTTAGAACCCTAAGTATATACTGCTAGTCTACCCTTAATAGTTAGAAGGCAGAAGTAATTAGAGACTAAAAGCAATAGAAAGGGAATACGACAAGCTAATCTAGAGCAAAGAAGACCTAAAGAGGATAGTAAAGTAGATTATTAAACAGGGATTTGTATAACAATTCGCACTAGCAAGGGAAACTAAGGAGTAGATAAGAAGGAGGGAAGAAGAGGGGGAAAGAAGGGTAGGGCAGCAGGCAAGGTAGTTAGAGGGTAACAACTATAACACTAGTATACCCTAGAGGAAGGAAAACAAGGAAACGAGGAAGATTAATACTTGTAAATAGGATAGGAGGGAGGTTTTTACTAACTAAGTTAGTTTCCTACCTAAAACAATGCGTGGAAACAGACCTGCATAGGCCGAAAGGCACTACAACAGGCAAATGAAATATCTATCTATCTATCTACTAAATTTACGACTAAAGCTAAACTACTAGCCGCCCTATATATAGGCTTAGAATAAATCTAGTAGAAACGTTTCTTTAGCAATATTAGCCTTACTTTAGACAATCTCCCTATACCATATTGCAATAGCATACAGGCCCTTTGTATTATTAAAGCGGATGCTAGTAAGCTAGATTTTAAGCTTAGATATATATATATTTATTAGTGCTAGCTACGTTAAGAGTATAAGGTAGGCCGCACTCTGTGTAAATACTTAGCAATATAAGACATGCTAGCTAATAGGTTAACTGAGCTCTATAGTCCGTAGAACTAGAAGAGGTTTGTCTAGTAACTAAAACTAATAGTAGTACCTACTAGACTAGTAATAATAGTACCTACTAACTAGTAGAGTCGATTAAGACACCTTCTAGTAAATAACGCTAATAATCGTGTATAATACGATAACGACGACAAATTGGAATAAAGGAATAAACCTTACCGTCTAATAAAAACTAAGTACTAGTATAGGCAACCTTACTTTACGGAGTACGTTACTGTTTCCTGTATTATTACTTCGAGCTTTACTTCTACTAGCTAATAACGAGTCTGCGGCGTTTGTATTGGTACTAGTAATAATAGTATAGTAGTCTTAGCTAAGGGTAGCGTCCTTAGTTTAAGTTACCTATCCTAATTCGTTTAATCTGTTTGACTAATTTGTTTTTTCTTAGGCCTTTATTAAATTGGTTAGACGCTACCTATACGATTAGTGTAATAACCGATAGTATAATGTAAAGGGCTTGGTTTAACTGGACTAATTGACTGTACGGTACGAGTTCTCGAATAAGGCTCTAGTTATCGGATTATACCTTAACTACGTAGCAAGAAAACAGTTCCTAGTAATAGCGGCTATATATAAAGGTATATAGACGTCCTCGGGGGTTTTCCGTAGTCTGGATTATACAACGATATCCTTCGGGGTACTCGGGGTATAAAATAAGACTCTCTTATATATAGTATAGATTTAAACTATTTTTTATTATTTTAATAAAGTACTATATAAGAACTTAAAAAAATTAACTTTTCTTTTCTTTTTATATATAGAAGTATTAGCTACCTTGCCTAAAATAGAAGGTACATGCCTTTTGTATAAGCTAGGGGGGTATATAACGCGTTAGCTTAGTTATGTAACTATTATATAACTTCCTAGTAGGAGGAGGATTTTTGTAATATATTTTGGACTATAGAATATATAGAATAAAGGCTATTAACGAAGCTATTTTTAACCCGCTAGCAAGGTAGTATTACGTAAGTAATCTACTACGCTATACGTAATAGAGGCGAGCGGAGAAGCTAACGAGACCGAAACTAAGATATCTTTACTTTGCTAACTCTAACTATAGAGACCTTAGAGCGCGCTATTTACGTACTTTAAAAGCGATTATAGTCTTATCGCGGCTCTATAAGGATATAGGGCAAGGCAAGTATCGTATAGTAAGCTTAAGAAAAGGAAATAATAGTATACGAAGATTAGATATAGGACTAGAACTTAGCCTAGTACGACTACAGAGCACTTTTTTTTTGTTTTATTAATCGTTTATCTATTTATCTATCCCTAAATTCTCTATATATACTAACAGTCCTTTTTTTTATTTAGCTTCCATTTTCTTTGTAAACGTTCACACCGCACCTTACTGCTAGCAAAGCGCATCGCACGATACCAAAGCGCGTCTCATGGCCAGCGAAGAGCATCTCATTCCTAGCAAAGCGCTTCTCATCACTAGCAAAGCGAATCCCACCACTACTAAAGGAAATCCCACCGCCACCAGAGCGCATCGCACCTCTATCAAAGTGCATCCCATCCGCCATCATACGATGGCGTTGGCGATGGCAGGGGATGAACGTTCGTGTTGAAGCTCCGGTAATCAAGCGGCGAGGCATCATCATTCCCATCATCCGGCAACACCATCTTTCCCTTCCCGTGCGATCGAGACGGAGCGAGAGGCGTGGTTGGCACCGGGGTGGATGAATCACGGCGGTTACGGTACATCTCCAGCTCAGCATTCAGCTTCTTAGTCTCCTGCGCGAGAAAGCGGACTTTCTCATCCTGACGGAGAAGATTGGCATACATTTCCTGGCTCTTCTCAGCTTCCAGCTCTTCTTTCTCTTTGAGCACCTGATTCTCCGCCTGGAGGTTCTGGACTTTGGCCGTCATCTCCGCTTTGAGGACTGCGATGTGGTTGGAGAGGCTGGAGCTGGAGCTGTAGGTAGACTTGCTCTTGGCTGCTGCCAGCTGTTTCTGGAGGTCGGAGTTCTTTGCCCTCGAGAGAGCGAGATCCATTTCCAACTGAGCCGTCGATGTCGCTTTCTGATCCTTAAGTGCCTTCTCCAGCGTTGTGTTCTGGCGCTTGAGACCTGCCACTTGACCAGTAAGGCCTGAGATCCGGGTGTCGTTCGTGGTGTTCTGGCTTGACATGCGCGCCTCCAGAGATGCCTTCTCACGCTCAAGAGTTTCAATCTTATCTGCGTTCTGCGTCGTAAGGCCTGAGTTCTGCTCTTCAAGGGCTATCTTTTCTCCTTCGAGGGCTGTGATGCGTGCAGTGAGGTCAGCGTGACTGGAGTCACGGTGACCTCCTGGGTGATTGCCAGTTCGGATCGCGGTAAGACGAGGAGCCTGGAACGCGACAAGGGCATTGAGCAGAGCCTTCTCGCCCATAACATGACGCCGAGGAATGCTTTTACGTGGCAATCCCTCGGCGGCTGTGACATCTGCAGGCATGGAAATGTCTCCGTTCCAATCCTCCTTCTCAAACCAGCGCTTACTCCAGCCCGCCCAGACACATTTCCAAAGTCCCCCTGAGCCCTGAGACTCCGTCAGCGCCGGATTGCGTTGACTGATGCGAGTCGTGAGTGCAGACACGGTGCGCTTGGCGGCGTTGGTGTAAGCTGTAGCATCGGTGCGAGGCGCTCCGAGCAGCTTGAGCAAGTCAGACAGCAGCTCTGGAGATGGGAGATTGCGAGCAGAGATTTGATGCTGAGAGCAGAACTTGTAAAGAGTGCGAAGCGAGTCCGCAGACCACGAAATACGACCGGTACTGTTGATGAGTTGGTCGAGAGTCAGGTTCTCGAAGACTGGTGCGATCTCATTCCAGGTCTCCTGTGCATCACTGGTCAAGTCGGACCACGAGCCATCACTGGTGTCAGAGTCAGAGCTAGAGCTTGGAGCCATGGTCGTTGAAGCAGGCGAGGTTGCTTGGATTGGAATTGGTTATGTGTATCTTCAACCACTCCCTAGAGAAGTGACTGTTGTGCTGCTGCACAGGGCAGAGGAGGGAATTTCCCACTGTATATATAGACAAATGAACCTGCGTGCTTTGCCGATTGGGGAAGTCAGCAGCTCGACTTTGTAAAGCAGTCGACCTCCCTAAAGCAGAAAGTCAGGTTGATAAAGGCGGACTTGGCACAAGCGAGCAAAGTCGACTTGGCTAAAACGAGTCTAGTACGCACACAAAGCGAATTCTATCTCCTATTCTACCTCTATTTAGGCGCCCTGCTTTATAGGCTTATATATACCTTCTACCTTCTACCTTCTACCTTCTATACGTATTTGTTTCTATTCTCGCTCGTTCTTATATTATCTATACTAATATATATCTAGTTAGTAGTCTATACTAAGCCTATAGCGAAGTGCCTAAAAGAAAACTGTACGGCTCCTATATAATCGTCCGGTATATAAACGAGAATTCGAATTTATAGAAGTATAACTATATATTAGATAGACAAACCTAAAAAAGCTATTCTACGTAATAATACAATCTTTTTAAATAGCTATATAAAGTATACGTTAAAGTATCAAATTAAAGCTATAAATACAATCTTTAAAGATAGGTCTTCCGGTAACTACGTTTATTCTACCCTCCTTTATATTACTTATATATAAACGGTATATAAAACGCTAAGCAAATTACGAGCGGACCCTTAAATAAACCGCCGCTCGTACCTCCGACTATTAGAACACCTATATTCTTAACCCTTTGCCTTTATCTTACTACTAAGGGCTATACTATATTACTAGTATATATATACCTTTCCTCGTAGTAATTCCTTTATCTAGTACGTTCTTAGACTCGACTAGGCCTAACGAAGGGTCTAGAGAGTCCTTTAGATACCTTTTTGCCTTATTGTACCTCGCTATCGTACCTCGCCGTCGCCTACTAATAATATCGCAGCCTAGTAAGATATACGATAGTAATAGCGCTACCTCCGGGAGGCACTCGTAAGTAGCGTAATAGGAAGAAGAAGGATAGAGCTAATAAGCGTAAGACTAATAGATAGTAGAACAAATCCGAGTAGCACTTTCTAATAGTACTTCTAGGTCGCGCCGCTATTACTCGAGAGCGCTCGGATTTTAGTTAATTGCTATAGGTCTAGTAGCCTAAGAACAAGCAAGATTATAAAGTATAGTTCTAGACTCGTTAAGATTGTATTAACGCCGCCGATAAAGCATTATCGTAGGACTAAGTTAAGTAACTCGTATATAATACTATAGCTTCTCTAGAGACTAAGAATATCTACTATAATATCGTTACCGCTACCCTTATTAAGCTATTAGATTGCCTTTATCTAGGAAAAGGATATTAGCTAAAGGACGTCTAGATCGATCTAGTCTTCGCGCTAATCTTCGGCGGTAGTAATATTCTATAGATCTCTAAGATAGGCGAGGGTAAGAGCTTAGTATTTATAGCCTTTAAGTATTTTAATAGCCTTATTACGCACTAGTTTATGTCGCTAAATCGCCTTAGCAAGGAGTAGGCTTAGGGCGTCGAGAACCGGTATTAATAGCTATAGTTAGATAGCTAGTTAGATAGCTAGCCGATCGAGCAAGATAGTATCGTTACCGCTATTAATATTACCTCCGAAACTATAAGCCTCTATCCTAAGCTATTCGACTGTATTACTAATAGTAGATATTATTATATTATCCTAAGTCTAGAAACCGGTACTAGTCTAGCCTTTAGGAAGCTACTATAGGACCCTAAGGTTCGTACCTATATCGGTCTCGTAGTAATTAATAAAGTCTATCTTATTAATAAGTAGCGTAACTCTTAGAAGGAATATATATAAATCTTTACTCTACGTAAGTTGCTCCGTAATAATATAGTTTAGCTCGGCTATTCTACGATAATATCCGAGGATATAAAGGACTTTATACTTAAATATAGTAGATTTCGTCTAGTTAGTAATTAGCTATTCTAGACTAATATTCTTCGTAGTAGTATCGATCGTCTAGATACTACGTATATCCTACGTACTATTCTAATAAATTAGCTCCGCTTATACGAGTACCTATATTTCGCTATCGATAGTATATTCGATTTAGAGATTAAGGAATAAGGAGGCTACGCCGATAAATATTAAGAAGGCCCTCTTATTTATTAATAGTCGTAAGTATATCGAGGATCTAGCTAATATTATTCGGTATTAGCTACTCGCAACGACTACTAAGTATAGAGACTAGAAGAAATAATATATATAGGATAGTAAAGATATAAATATCTATACTATAGTAATATTCTATACTAGTAGTATCGCTAAGCGAGACTAGAAGCGCCGGTATAACCGCTTCTGTAAGCCTATAGAGTATCTAGATAGGCTATCGGAACACCGGATTAAAGTTGCTACTACTACTTTTAGTATTACGCTAGATGTACTGGATAATAAGCTTATTTGCTAGACTAGGTTTCCTCTTGCGCGCGGTGTTAGGGATGTTGTCTAACGTCTTCGCCGTGCCGGTCGTGCTGTTCTACGTAGTCTAGCCTTTATCTTCCTACTACACTATATCGATAATTGTCTTAGGTAGCCGCGGGTGGAATCTGACTACCTAGCAACTAAGCTTCGCCGACGTAGATCGTATAGAGTATTCCGGCTATTAGGGCTCTGCTAGTCTAAGCTTCTAGGAGAAGATACTAATACGCTAGGTACTCGAGAAGCCGCTAATAATAACAATAATAATAATAATAGCGATAGCGATAAAATTAGCTAAGAAACTACTAGACTAAGAAAGAGATAGAGCTTCGTAATAAGATTCCTCGGATTTAGCGGGAGTTCTAGAATAACTATCTACGCAAACAATACGGTACACATCTACGTAAAGTTATCTATCGCTATCTCGGTAAGGATAAGATAGTATATACCTAGTAACTACTAGTAGTAGTAGAAGATTGCTATAATATCTATAACCTAGAACTAGACGCTCTTTATATCGATATAGCTCTAGAAGGTATTACTCCCCCGAAATTCAGGGCTCCGAGAGCCGGCACTTGTTAGAGGCTATACGTAATTGGTATGTAACTAGCTCGAGTAAAGCTAGGGTCTTAGTGCCTTAGGAAGGGCTTGGCGCTTAGCGTTAGGCTAACTAGCCTGCCTTCCTCCTTCTCCTCCTAGTTCTCTATCGAATACTACTTGTACCTACTACTACTCTGTCTACCTACTAATGTAACCCTTCTTATACAGTATTCGATCCACCCTTTAAGGGTAGTAGCTAGATAGTCCTTATTTTAAGCTTTTAGTAGTGTAGCTACGAAAACTATCGATTTAACTATATTACGCCCGAAGAACGGGACCTACACGTACTATTCTATCGAAACAACCGTACAAATTATTAAGCAAGGCCTTCTATACGGCCTATTATACTAAGTTAAGTATACTAGACCGATACCTACTAATTCCGCTACATCCGTATCTTAGGGGCTAATAATATATTATTAGTGTCGCCCCTTATAATAGCCGGTTTACTACGAAGCAACAACCGCGGCGCCGCTAGCAGCGCTAGTAATAACAACGCCGGCAGTGCTCCTAGCAGTGCTAGCAATAATAACAATAGTAGTATAGTGCCTACTAAAGCACCTACTAAAGTGCCTCCTACCGAAGAGCCTACTACTAAGCCTTCCGAAGAACCTATAGTTCTAGGCGATAATCTAGAATTGCCTGTTAACGACATTCTTAACAATATTATTAATCGACGATATAGCTAACTAGCCTTTAGCCCCTAGCTAGTAGCGAGACTCTAAGAAGCTACCTAGAATAGGCTCGCTGCTCTACGCTAAGAACAACAGCTAAAGGAGAACCTCCTCGAAATTCGCCGCCTATAGCAATCCCTAGCAACTAATACTAAGCTAACAGTAGGGCCTTCCTTACCCTCTATTTTAGTCTAAAAGAAGGATACTAAACTCAAGGATTGCACCGTATTTAATAGCTCTAGCCGGAAGCAATACAACGATTACATTCGTAACTGCGAGCTTAACTAACGCAATATACTAAGAGCGTTACTAGACGACTACTCGTTAGTCGTCTATGCTATATAGTATATTAATAGCGACCTAAAACGCACCTAGGATAACTATTTTAACTCCCTTAATAATTAGACCGCTATTTAGTAGCAAGACTATAAGACTATTATACTAAACACCCTTAGTAACCCTATATTGCGCTAGTAGCACGCCTAAGACTAATACCTACGTACTAAACAAAAAGCCGACTAAACCTCTCGATCCTTCGAGGCCTATCTAAAGACCCTTAAGGACGATTTGCTACCTAAAACCGACTCTATCTAGATATCTAAGATATAACCTAAACTAAGATAGGAACTAGTCCTTAAATTAGACCGCCGTCGTGTATTCGAACAGACTAATCTAACGCGCATTTAATTCATAGTCGAAGTAGAAACAGCCGAACGGGCTATTTAGCTCTAATAGCGACTAGAATCGAGGATCCGACTAGCTAGTACTAACCGCGGCAACCGTAGTGCCCGCAGAGGAAGCTAAGGTTCTACCTAAAATAATAGTGCTAACAATAGGAACAGTAACGACCGTAGAAGAGGCCGTAGCCGACGGCTATATAGAGGAGGCCGTAATAGGGGCCGTAGAAGGGGCTCGTATCCCTATAATACTAATCGATCAACTAATAATAGTAGCAACAGTAGCTATAGCAATATTCTAACCGGATTGAAGTGCTTTAATTGTAATAGCACTAGCTATCTACTAGGCTAATGCGACAAACCTAAGGACTAGGCCCGAATCGACCGTACTACCGCTAAATACCGAAAGCACCTCTTAGCCGCTAATGCTACCCCTATTAGCCCTTCTAACTATTCGAAAAAAGAATAAGCGCCGTACTAACTGTTAGCCTTATGCGGCGTAAGACTATTAACATTGTGCTAGCTATTATACG